TGAATTACGATAAACTAAATTAGATGTTTACTTTATTTTATACTTATGTCAGGATGGCCTAGTATGATAGCATAGCAATTGCAAAGTTGCAAGTTCGAATTTTAAACATTTTTTTTTCAAATGTCTTTAATTGTTTTCTTAAATCTATGCAGCATTTTGGATGACGATTTCTTGAATTTCTTGTGTATTTTCTTAAAACAATCATAACTTTGATATGTATATGGAAATGTTCATAATTTCAATTTGTAACGTCGCACAATGATTCAGTTGTACAATAGAAGTTCGGCAAGCACAAATAGTTATTATTCATGTTTCATTAAGATTCGAACAAACAACTTTCACTTTAAAACCAAATATCTTAATTCCTTATCACATAGGCTAGTTAGGCGCTAGTTTTGTGTTGGTAACTTTAAGTTATTATACATAAAACGTATACCGATATGCTTTAAAATTCCTACCATTTACCATAGGATCCATATCTATTTGTTAATTACTTTACATTCACGTTTTTGCGCAATTTTGTCACGTTGACGTTGGCGTCCTAACGGACGTGACGTCATATACTTTGTACGTTATTCTGATGAAGACAACAGTCGAAATTAGTAAAGATTTAAAAAAAATATGTGTTGTTTTGGTGTATTTTAACTGATTTACTCGAGAAAACCAAGACTTTGCATCTAATATGACGGATCCACATTGTAACCTACAAAAACTGGCAATAAAGCAGATGAAGAATCGTCTTCATGAACTATTTCTGCAAAAGTGCATAAACAATAATGTTATTCCGAAAGGGCTTCTGTGGACAACCTACTTAAAAAGGTTTCGTTAGACATAATGAAGAGAATTGCAGAGGATCAACAGCGACATGGTTTGGAGTTATCTAAATCAATTGAAGAACAGAGGAAAATGGCGAGAAAAAATCTATCAGAAGATCAACTATTTAATGTTGAGACTGAAATTTCAGAAAAAACTGAAAGGGAGAAAGAAACGGTAATACAGAGACATGAAAAGAAACTGTCAAAACTTTTACATGAGAGTGACGTAGTTTCCGATAACCCACAGAATAATATCTCGGGTAATGCATCCAAGTCAAAGCTAACAGAACAACAACGCCGTAATACGTATAAGAAAAATAAACAACCGGCACCATGTAAACCGCAGAAAGCAAACCCACATACAAATTTGAAAACCACTACCCAACATCCATCATCTTCAACCGAAGAGACAACAGTTGCAACCCCTACAAACATTCCAAATCATACGAATGTTACGTCGCCAAAAAACGGATCAGCCCCGGGCACAAAACCCACCTACGCAGAGGCCACTCGGAACGGGGCGATGACAGAACAGGTCCAACTAACGAACACTCTACAGGACTTAACCAGACTCTTAAAGATATTAATAGAAAAACAAACAGGCGTTTCGTCAGGGCGAGGAACAAAAACGAATGGCGAAGACATAAGAAGAGGAAACAGGCGATTCAGAGGGGCAAATCGACAGTAATTAACTTGTCAAAAAGGCGTTTATCGGACACAGACTATATATTACTGGGTAAGGGACTTTCTTTTGTACCTAAGCTTAAAAGCCACGACAAAGTGAAATTAGCAGAAGAGGTTTTTAGATTCTCACGTAGATTACGGCTTAAGGAGTACTTTTACGAGGAAACAGTTACAAATGAACAAAAGTATAATGATAAACCTTTCTTTAATAAAAAACAATCTACATTTATTCCCAAACAAGGCCGTGATGAATATCTTGACTTTTATATTGAGGCAATACACCAGGAAATTCTCCAATCATCAAACATATCTAGATATTCAAATATCACTATGGAAGAATTATCCAGTCTTAAGTCGTTAGCAAATGACAGGGATATTGTTATCAAAAAGGCAGACAAATCGGCTAACATTGTCATAATGAACAATGAAGATTACATACAGGAAGTGAACAGACATCTTAGCAACGATAATTATTACAAGAAACTAGATGAGGACATTGCGGAAACAGTTCAGAAGAATGTCCGTGACTGTATAGACATTATTTCCGAAACCGAAGAATTTGTAGAGGAGGAGTTTGACATTTTTCCCGAAAAAATACGTACTCCGCAATTTTATATTTTACCAAAGCTACATAAAAATATAGATAACTCATTGCCATTAGGATATCCTGGTAGGCCTATAGTATCCGCATGTAATTCCCCTACCGATAACATATCCAAATTCCTAGACTATATACTCCAACCCCATGTGTTAACCTTGCCTTCGTATATAAAAGATACCACTGATTTTCTTACGAAAATTAAGAATTGTAGTCTATCATCCAACAGTTATTTGGTAACTATGGATGTTAGCTCTCTCTATACCAATATCCCCCATGATGAAGGTATCGACGCCTGCCGGTCATTTTTAAATCGTAATACCGGTAACACTAACACCAGTCTGTCGGTCGATAGTATTTGTAAACTTATAGAGCTTACACTTAAGAATAATCATTTTAAGTTCAACAATGATAATTACATCCAAACCATGGGTACAGCCATGGGTAGTCCATTTGCCCCAGCTTATGCATCTTTGTTCATGGGTAAACTTGAACAAGACTTTTTACAGACACGCCAACTTAAACCTACCCTATGGTTACGGTTCCTAGACGACATATTCATGATCTGGGATCATTCTTTGGATGAATTAAATGATTTTGTCCAGGCCCTTAATGGATTACATAGCTCAATTAAATTCACTTATGACATTTCACTGGATCATATTTCATTTCTGGATGTCGATGTTACTAAAGACAACAGGAATAATATTTGTACCAATGTCCATGTTAAAAATACCAACATCCACCAATACCTGGATTACTCGTCCAATCATCCCAAAACTTGTAAAAATGGTATTCCATACAGTCAGGCTAAGCGCTATCGTCGTATTGTATCGGACGATGACCAGTTTGCTAAGTCACTGGACAGTCTCCGTGAATTTTTCATTTCTAGAGGTTACCCTGATAAGGTTATTGATGACGCATTCGGTAAAGTACGTGATGTATCTCAAGATGAAGCCCTTGTATACAACAGTAACTCCTCTGATGAAAAGATTGTACCTTTTATTATTGAATATAGTCCGTCTCTTCCCCATATTGGCAGTATCGTAAAAAAATACTGGGATTTATTTAAGCTATCGCAAAATGCGTCAGTCCAACATTTGCACGAATACAGACCCGTGTTAGCCTATCAGCGTGGTAAAAATCTCAAAGATTTCTTAGTCAGGTCTACATATCCCACAAAATTCCCTGGCCCTGTAAACGCCCATTCTAGCAAATGCTCCAGGCCTAGATGTTCACATTGTACTAGGATAGTAGAAACTGATAAATTTGAAAGTTTTTCTAATTCTTCTATATATCGCCTTAAATTTAATACAGATTGTACATCCAATAATGTTATTTATTTAATATCTTGTAAAAAATGCAACATGCAATATGTTGGCCAAACTAAACAACAAGTGTCCAAAAGAATGAATAGTCACAGATTTGACATTAAGAATTTCAGTGACCCTGTGTATGCCAGTGGTGTTGCAACACATTTCAACACTACAGACCACAGTGTAGAAGACTTCAGCTTTTTACCTATTGACATTGTTGACAATGACATGGACAGACTCGTCCGTGAAACATCTTGGATTCACAGACTTGATACTGTGTTTCCATCAGGCATGAACACCAGTGTATTGTTCAAATTATAATTTTAGTTGGCAATTATAAGTATATAGCAACTGTTTTAAAACTTTCTCCATGCATTTTTAATGTTTTGTCTTATTATTATTTAACACTTTTCTTCATTATTTTTACTTATTTATATCATTTTTTTCATAAAATATTTCATTATTGTATGCAAATTGTCTATTCTTGTACTTTTTACTGTTTTTATAACCTCCCTTTATTTTTGAAAAAATAATTTTTTCCCCTTCTATTTTATGATTTTATTTTATAAATTAGTTTTACATATTCTCTTATTCATTTATTCTTTTTATTATTTATTTTAATTATTAATACTATTATTATTAATATTATTATTATCATTATTATTATTATTATTATTATTATTACTTTTATTGGTGTCGGTGATGATGATGATAATATGTAATGGGTAATGTTGTTGTTATTATTATTATCTTTTTTATTATTCTAGATAACTTGCTGGCTAATTAAAGTAATGCTTTCTCGCTAATTCCCAGTGAATGTATATATAAAATTATATGATATATTTTGACATATAGGTATGTTGGGTTTTATCATTTTTCTCTGCTTTATATTGTAGAAGTATAGTTCTATTATTAATACCCGCTGTATCTTTTTGATCCATATCTATTTGTTAATTACTTTACATTCACGTTTTTGCGCAATTTTGTCACGTTGACGTTGGCGTCCTAACGGACGTGACGTCATATACTTTGTACGTTATTCTGATGAAGACAACAGTCGAAACTAGTAAAGATTTTTTTAAAAAATATGTGTTGTTTTGGTGTATTTTAACTGATTTACCATTTACTTCGGAATACTACAATTACCGACAAAAGGTCATTGAATGTCTAAATGTCTCAGGTCAAGATTGCCAAACAATGGTGTTAAATGAATAGACGGGGTATTAAATTTGTTTCTTTAATTAAAAACATAGTTATTTTTCTTTTGAAACCTAATGAGACCAACATACCTGCTTGTATTTGAATGACAGGTCTTTGTCAATAAAACTTATTATAATAATCGAGCCGTGATATATGCATGACTAATCTTCCATTAAAAAGCAATAAACACGGCATATTTAAAACATATCAAATTGCCGTCTTATTGTCTAAAGGGCTATCTGTAAAAAGAAATCTTAACATCTAAATTCACTTTTAAAAGTGTAAAAAATTTAAGGAACTCTAATTTTGCTGGGACTTTGAATTTGTTAAGGAACAGTTATTGAAGTAAGAATGTTTTTTTTGTTCAGTTACCATAGGTTTATCATTTTTTCCATTTTAAGCATACAAATACAATATTCATGTAATTATGATCATAAATTAGATAACAGTTAAAAAACAGACTTATTATTCCTTCCAAGATCTTTATATAGTTTGATTCCGTCGTGTGTTTTGAAAATAAGCAAAACGTTCCTGCAAATGATAGACTCATATAGATGCTACTTTAATTTCAGGTTTTAGCTTGTTTAATTATTCAAATGTTAATTCTGTTAATAACATTTCTTTGAGAGGTTGTTTTTGTCAGGAATATCGAAAATTCGTAAAGCTAAGCTGACAACTAAATTAAAGATAAATCTAGTCTAAGAAATGATATAATGTATTTTATTTTATTCCCTGTTTATTGAAAATTTATATACATATACATGTATTTTCACTTTCCATTCCATAATTTTGAACATATTGTATTCAAACAAATAGTTTAAAATAATAAAAGGGAAAGTTTTAATGTTTCATTGAAGTTAATTTTAATTGAAATGAAATGCACTTACAGGTGAATGTCTCCAAATAAGCCAATACATCTAAAAAAATCATATTAAAAATTGTACGAAGATTTTGATAGAATTTATATTTACAATACAAATTATAATTTACATGTAACATGCTGCAATGAATGACTAATTTTGCAGTATTAGTGACCATAATTATGTCCATTGCGTGATAAACGCAAAGAGGATTTTTCATATTTTTGTCTTTTATTTGGTATTTCATGAATACTAAAAATGTGAAAGTTACTTTCTTTCTTTACTTGAAAATATTGTGCAATTAAATCATTTAATAACTTCTAATGAAAATTATCATGAATCTGAGGACATGCTGCTTAAAGTATTAAATCTCTAGATAAATACTGTAAAAAAAGTGGTTTTAATAATAATACAACATTTTCTAATAACAAATGAATAAATGAGTTATCTTTCGGAAAATGCTTGATTGGATTGCGTATTAAATTAATGACAGTTCTGTTCCTCTTAGTATGTTAAGTTAACATAATCATCACATATCATAAATTACTTAAAACATTTCGAAAGGTCAATTCACTTTGTTCACTAATAAACAATTATGTCTTACTGGGAGATTCGAGGACGATAAGTTGTCGGACAACGCCAACCTGATTCTAAATTCTTATGCACACCATAATCTATGCTGCTACTATAAATAATACACTTTCCATTGACCTAAATATTGCATAAACTGTATGCAAGTTAACAAAATTTATCCAACACAATATACAAGCAATAGCAGATTTCCTAAATGCTTCTGTCTGGATGTATTTGGGCATGGTTTCCGCGCTCATCATGTTAACCCCACTAGGTTAACCAGTCACCAAACAAATAGTCGTAAGGGGCGACTTTGAAGCAATCCGTTAACTTTCCAAAAAGCTATACAAAACAACAATACCGAATTTAGGCTTAAACTAAGCTTGAACTGAGGCTGAAAATACGATCAAAATGGGGCTTTAAAGTGAATATCATTAAAGGCTAACTGACTGCTCGAAAACTTTTAAATGAGTAAACTTAAGCACTGAACCTTTTTTTTGCCCCAAAGAGTTTTAAAACAAATAAATACTGCGTCCAAAGGGCTTTTATCAAATCAATACAACTAAATGCACGGTTTTAAACTTTTGGCCGTAAATATTAGTGCCTGATCCTTGGAATCAGCAACCAAGCCATACGTCTTTGGCAAAACATCACTTTAAAGTACTTCATTAAAAGACCTTAGTACGAAAAGTTTGAAAAGTCATCTTCGGAGGTCGCTGTCGCTTTAAGGTATAACTGGGACGCAACGCTTGCCACCGCAAAAAGAGAGACAATAGAACACTTTTAGAAACAGCGACCATCCGAACATTAAACCCAAATTAAAAATAAAAACGGATTGCTTGATGAGAAGGGAACCAGTATTATTACACTTGTACTACGCAAAGCAATTATAACTACCAGACACAAATGCGTCTAACGCAGACGATATCTGTGCCAGAAACCAACAATTACCAAAGGACAAATGCACTCCATCACTGTAAACGCCAAACTCCTCACAGCGGTTACGTCACGCTTTGCTACTTTAACCACTGCCACCACTGAAATCACGTGATGATAGTTGTATCATGTGACAAAAACATGGCGGCCAGTTTCAGAACGCCAAGGATCCCGTATCAAACTGGCAGATTTATAATTACATCCTTACCAGACAAAATAAGTTCAAGACACACAATGTGTTATCACTTTAAAACAAGTGCGGGATCAAATGTTTTTGTGTAATCGTTCAATAACTGTTTATATTCTGCCATTGTTACTATGCATACGGTGTCACAGTGAAAATATCTTTCGTTATGTTTAAAAAATAATTTTTATACGTATATTTTTTTACTTTCTTGTACATTAAGCATAACTATTTAACGAAAGAAAACTAAAATGATATAAAGTATTCTATTTCAAAATTAAAAGTGAAAAAAATATATCCGGCTATATTCGACCGAATTTTCTTGTGGTGGCAGTGGTTACTGTACAGATCAGGGGAAGTAACCGCTGCGAGGAGTTTGTGTAAACGCCTGACCGCATAACTATTTACCCTTTTTGGTGCTAATTCCATTGCAGCATGATTATCGGAACTTGATAATGATATCAATTTGTGTACGAAATTCTTTTAGATTAATCCGTCCTAAATCATTACCCCAACAGTGTAATACAATTGTGTCGGGGAGATCTCCGACTCTCTTTAAGGTATTCAATTTACTCACAACATCCAGTATAGACATTCCGCTGTAGTCTTGTCACCAAAGATTGATACACTTCAAATCTAGGCTTGCTCCGCCAGGCATTAGCCTTGCTTCTGTAAATGCTTGCTTTATGATAGATGATCAAATCAGCCAAACCTTTATTGTGCCTAGAATAACTTGGCTTGCATTAATTTCAAAGCAATGGCACTTGCAGGCTAGCATAAAAATTGATAAATCCGATATTAATATAACGTTTGCAGCTGATTCTTTGCTCGTAACAGCCAATTCACTCACTTTAACGAAGGCAAAAAATGCAAGACAATAAGCCGCTGCAAATACATGACTTTCATTTGAACAAATTTGAACATACCACAGTCAATATTGACAAAATATGTTGCAAAACATGTTTAGTTTTTGGAAGTCTTGACACTCTTAATTTGGCAGACCTCTTCAAACCCTCTAAAAGTTTGTCAATAATGTAATCCCTTGAAACATCACAAATATTGGTAACCTTGCATCGAAACCCTATGGCATTAACATATAAACGGGCAGTTAAAGATGCCCTTTCTTTTAATGATAACCTGGAGATAAACATGAGTATTTGCTCCATGGTAGACTGCATGCTGTAAATGTTCCTAAAACGTTCAAAACAATTAAGCATATGTTGTAAGCACTAACAGTGTTCGCAAACGAAGCGTTTAACTGTATTTCAGGTTAAAATTGAACATCATTGAACGAAAACGATCTGGTATATTCGCTGGTTCCTGGTTTGCCTCTGGTGCCAGCTTTCAGGAAACGGTCCCACTGCATTCGAGAAATTGAATTAGCGATTGAGTTCAAATTAGTAGAAATATGCACTGCTTTAAACAAAATGCCTAACCACATAGATAACAATACAAACTGACGAACTAATTGCATAAGGCGCTTAGATTTTGTTGTTTTCTTGTTTATGACTACAACTAATAAAGCCTCATTATCTATGCGCAATATAACTTTCCTATGTTGCCACTGTCTCCCCCATAAACATAATGCAAGCATAACAGGGACCATTTCTAAAAAGGTGATGTCTTTCATAATCTCGTCACACTGCCATGCTTTTGCCACTGAAAACATGACCATTCTGTACCGAAAAAAACCCAACCACAACCCATTTTGAGGACCCTGCACTGTCAGTAAATAACTGCAAAATACTTCTATCTAACAATACGTCATCTGCAATATAACTAACACCATTGAATGAATAAAAAACATGTGAGTCACACAGTTAAATCAAGTCTGACTGCTTCTGAAATTCGAAGCCTATGAAAAGGCTGTTTAACATTGACCATAACATCATAGCATCTACTCAAAAATGCCCTACTTTAAAGTATAGCTTGACTGCAAAAAGACATTTACCTACTAATGACTGAACATTTTTAGAGTAACTTTCTTTCTCAGTAGAACCTATTTAATAGCTTCACGCAACTTATCCACTTTATGCAATTCTTTTGATCATATCACACGAATCAAGCTCAAGCCCTAAAAATATCAACTAAGTGCAAGGACCCACTGATTTCTCTTCGGCAATAGGAACACCCAGCAAATAACATACTGACAAAAATGAACTAAGGTTATAATACAATTGTTTGTGTTACCCGCTCCAGCAAAGATAAAGTCATCCAAATAATGGTTTAATGTATCTTTTTGTGAAACATATTCGACAAGCCATTGTAAGAAGGTAGACAGTTCTTAAATAACGCGCAAGAAATTTTGCACCCCATGGGTAAAAATTGATCTATATAAATATTCCCTTCATTGCCCTTTAAACCTAATAAACAGAAATCTTCTGGACAAATAGGCAGAAGTCTAAAGGCTGACTTCATATCGCGCTTAACTGTAGCAAGATTACTAGTATCACTGATACCACCATCCGGAAAAGAAAGATGAGTAATAAGTCGCCAGGAATAATCTGACTTTGGCACCAGTCCAAGCGGCGAATTTCTTAAATTACTCAACAGTGAAACCTTAAACTGGCCAGCAAATCTATCAGCTATAACCTCATTATTGATTTTGCTTTAATACTTGTGTGAATTTAAGCTTGCAGATTTTAAATTTCGGGCGACAACCGAAACTCACTGCCCAGTAAGACCAAGGCAAAAACCTCTTAAAAAACATCCATAATGATTAATATTTCCGCGCCCTGCCTATTCGGGTAAACTTGTAAATAAATAATACATAAATATACAAACATTAATGAAAGTAGTGCAATTTTCTATACTTGGCGCAACATGAGGCAATGTTGTTGGAACGCTACTGCTATTCCCAACTAAATTAAAATTACCATTTTCCATTGGTGTTTCTTCTGCAGATGCAACTGTTGAAATGACTCGCTTCTGACTGCGTGCCTGTCGTTATTGTCACAGATTCATTCATGATCCTAGTACTACCCGTTCTTCTCGCCGCCACCGCCTCCGATAAACATAAAGGGGTGCATGTAGACCACCTTGATGTACGCTTTGTCTTTCCCATGTTCCGTTAATATAATTTAAATCAATGAAATAATAAATCAAATTACAAACTCACGTGATTAACAGATTAAATATTTATTTTATCTCTTTCAAATTGTGCCGTTAAATATTATGGATGTAAGGATGTAAATGCCTTATTTACTTAAAAATCTATTGAAGCCCTGTAATAAAGATTATCGCCCAAATAACAAACTTGTTTCACATAGATAATTTACTTTATAAAATCAAATGTAATTACGAGATAAATATGCACTATGTCATGGCAAAATAATCCCGGTGTAAAGTATCGAACTCCAATAATGCACAGCTATCGATTGACGATAGCAGTAAGTATCACCCTTTTCAGGAAAGTAAATGTTAAGTAACTTGAAATGTAAAAACAGCATCTGAATCATTTAAAAGTGGTAGTTGATATATTACAAAAGTATAAAGAACGATATGTTGCATAGGAAATTGCTGGCCCTATTTCAATTACATGTCACAGTTTATAATACATAAAAGTAATTTATTGGACAATGATTTTTCATACTAGTTTATATAAACGATGACTCCTTTCTTCTTAAGAAGTTCATTAGACAATGATTTTACATAAAGTGCCATGGGTAATGTCCCTACCAAATAAGATAAAAAGGCCTTATTTCTTCTCAACGTTTGTACGTACATACCGATCAACCATATCAGAGGATGGTCCCGATCAAGGGCCATAACTTAGTCAAATTTAAGTCTGATCTATGGACCTTAGATAGTATCGATTTTCAATTTTGAAGTGAATGCATTCAATAGATTTAAGATTAACTTCGCATGTACAACTTAATTCTGGAATATTCTAAGGTAAGAAAGTATATTTATCTATAGTGTTATCTGATTGGTTCATTATCACGTGCACACAACATAGTAACTCGTGGCCACGCAATTGTAACCCGCACTCACGACGTAACTATCTTGTGCGCACAACTAAGTAACTCGTGACCACGACATGTTATCTCATGTGAACTACCTAATTATCCCGTTACAACGACTTAGTAACTCGTTGCCACAATATAGTATCCCGTGCGCACCATTTAATTAGCCAGTTCCCACGACTGCAAAACTTGTGACCACGACATATCATATTTCATTCGCACCACTTAATTATCTCGTTTATGGACTTCGTTACTCGTGGCGACAAAATATCTCGCACCACTTAATCATCTCGAACGGACGACTTAAAAACTCGTGTGGCTATGACAGAGTATCTCATGCGCACGACTTTATTATCTCGTGCGCATGATTTATTAATTCGTGGCCATGACAGAGTGCCTCGTGTGCATGCCTGTATTATTTCGTGCGCACGACTAAGTTACTCGTGGCCACGACATGGTATCTCGTGTGTACCACTTAATTATCTCGTTCCTGTGACTTAGTATCTCGTGACAACAAAAAAATTACTTGTACGTACCACCTAATTATCTTAGCGAACGACTTAATAACTTGTTGCCAAAATATAATATCTCTTGTGCAGGATATAAATGATCACACTCACATCATTTGTATTAACTCGTATAATCGAAGGGCTATTTTCGTTTTAAAAAATTGACGTCGTAATTTGACAATCTTATTCAGCAACAACACTTAAATAGGAATTGTTTTTTACACAATCTTTGTTCACATCAAAAGCTTGTTAAACACGCTGAATAGCACAATACAATAGATACGTTGATGTGTAAGCGAAATATATTTACACATAAGTATAACTGAAATTTCAACTAACTATACTTGTGACATTCCTACTTCGTCAGGTAGGCGGAAACTATTGATCGCGTTACGGAACAAAAAACGTTCTTTATCACATCTTCCTCATTTGAGGACACCTAACACTTTTTGTCGTGTTATTTGTAATCAACGGATCAAAATCTACCGAATCCGAAAACAAGCCAGTGTTTTACTCGACTTTATAATTTATAACTTTTATAACTGTGTACAAAAATGTTATATTCTTGCTGTGAAATCTTAATATATGTACTAGTATGCAAACGCGCACAGCACAAATGTATTAATAAAGTTATTTTTATAAAACAGTGCGTGAACCACGTATGAATTATTTTATTTTCTTTCTGGACTAGATTGTATGCCTGACAATTAGAAGTAAAACGGAAAACATCTCTACGGACACAAAATAAAAAGTTACAATGGAGCTGCCATCATCGGTAAACTTTACTGTCTGTTGATAATTTTGCTTAATTTTTTCTACTTCTCAGATAAAATATAATTTCGTACAAGTATTGTTTCAACTATTGTAAAACAATTTTTTAAGTTAGATTTGAATGTATTATCATTTCAAAATTGATTGAACGTCGTATATTTATATCATTTTTTTTAATCAAAGTGTATCAAATTTCAAAATTATCACAGTAATCATTTGTCATTTCAGTAATGTTCAATATATTTTCTTAAAATAAAAGCAATGGAACTATAACAAATTTATTAAGCGACGAAAGCCACACAAATTTCATAATATGAATTTTGAACTAATTAATTTGAAATTATATTTCAATTAACGCTACAACAGAGCAGTGATATAACTAGAGAGCATGAACACTACCTGAGGCATATATTGTTTTTGGAACAAGCTACGTCCATCGTATTGAAGGCCATAATAAAAAGAGAAAAGAAAAAATGCGGAAAAGACATTGGAATTTTGCTAAATGAGCCAAGATATACATTTAAAACACATTACAAAACAGAGTATCTTCAATTATTTCAAGAAGATGTCAATGACGACATTGATACGTGGGACACTCTTCAATTATGTGCTGTTTTATTAGCTCTATTTAAATCTGACCTAACTGGTCCTGAAGTTAAAGCCATTCAGTGTATATATGATCAGAGGAAAGATATTGAACGTTTCGTAGAATGTGCCTCCCTTACATACAATACCTACAAGGAGAAACAACATTTATTGATAGAACATTTGCACGGGTTGATGAAGCTTATAGATGTCAAATCTGATTATAATTGTACACGTATGATGGTTTCATTTAAAACAAAATCATTGCAATTGAGCGAAACACAGATAGGCAAACTAACACAGACAAATGATTTTAAAACTCATCTTAAAATTGCAAAGGAAGTATTCGTTTCAGAGAATGATATGATTGTCGAAGACAATGATCGAAGGGGTGAGATAAATGGTACGTATTCGTGTTTTGTGTTGTTTTTATTTGACTTGTCAGTCATTATTCGTATCCGGACTTAATTTTTTTGCATCAACTTATAACTGATGAAACTCCTCTTTTTTCATGAGTGCACTATATATACATATATACAGGAACCACTGACTCGATATTGTAAAGTTAAGCTTCAACATCAAAATAAACATGGCATATCTTATTTCTTTTATCATTCACATGTTGATTCATTTAATAAAATCTTACACTTTTGTCAAGACTTTGTCTTAGCTACCGCTAAGTGGACTTCCTTGAAGGAAATTGTTCATTAATTTCCACGAGCATTGATCGCCGTCACTTTTTCTCCAAAAAGAGACACTTTTGAAGAATAAAGTAATGAAGGAATTTAATCTAAACTTCATAATGATGGAGACCAGTAAAGATGCAGTGTCTATCAACCAAACTTCTACCTTGCTTTAATATTATCCCATTTAATTTTGTTCAAAATGCATGGTTTTATATCCATGAAATCTTAGATGGATTAGAAAGAGATAGTACAGCGTAGAAGAACCATAATGATGCATTACTCAGTTACTAATCATAGTATTGTCTTTATTGAAGGTATTTTATTCAAACTTTACACAGTAAAAATGCCAGTGAACCATAATTATATTTGGCTTATATCTATTTTTTAATAATCTTCCTTAATGAAACATCCTGCCTGTCCAGAAAATTACTTTTTAACTGTCATGGGAAACTTGTTCGTTTGGTCTTACGGTGCACCAACACAGTTTAGGTAATTTGACACCGAAACAGGAAAGCTGATTTTGGCTAACCTCCCCTGGCTAAATCTTTAAAACAACACATTGAGTAAAAAACCACCTGCTCCAGCTAAGTGATGCATAGACTCAATTTATGCAATTGATTTAAGTCGCCACTTACAAACACGCAGTAATAAACGGTCACCGTGAATGTAATTCTGATACATTTACTGTAGGAGACAACCCCTCAGGAATAAAGGGTGTCATTTGAATCTCGTTAAAACATTACACAGTTACAGACAATTGTAAAATAAAGTGCAGTGTCAGAAAACAATACTTCAGTGTTTTTTTAATGTTCTCCCTTTATGATTATTTAAAGAATGTTGTTTTTTAGAATGACTTGATATGTATTGGTGGAATTAAATAAAAAAAATTACATGGTTGTAGATATTAATAAGAGGAAGTATATTGTATTACAACCATAATTATACTTTGCTTAATTTTCCAATAATCTCCTTTTATGATACGTAAAATGGTTTCACAACGTCATGCTCCGATATTGCGTTATAATTTGTCATTTCGTATGCAAACAACCTCTCAGCAACCACTATCTTTAATTTTATGCATAAGGTTTTCATATCTGTTAGTGAGGGGATTTTTTACTTCTTTTTTTTATTATTCTGTCAAGGGTAATGTGAGGAGGATAACAGTGATCAATTATCACTACATTCGTTTCGTCCTCTTCCACGAAGGACCTTTTTTCGTGGTCAAAATTTTCCAAAGCAAATTTAGTGTTTGTTGAACGTTAAGATAATGAGTTTGAAATGTGTTTGTAAGATGTGTACATACAGTTCTGACTTCTTCCGTCCGTCATTCCAATATATTTAATCTGGAAACTTTCTTCGCAAGATAATTTTCAGCGAAATATATTGCTTATTATAAATTATTAAATTCAAATGTATAATATACTGTACACCACAGGCAACCAAGTATTTATCAAGAGACTTCAAGATAAAAATGTCTACAAAATGGATTCGGCTGTTCTTACATGTAATCTCAATTTTCCGGCTCATAAAAAGATCATTTGGCTGAAAAATTCCAAGCCGGTCGACACAACAGATAATTTGATGTTCTTTGCAACACTGAAACTTTTCGCAGTTAATTCAGCAAACAATTGCTTATTATAAGATTATTAATGTCAATGTATATTACTTCACACAGCAACAAGTGATCTTATCAAAGTTAAGATAAAGTTCTCAAAAGATTCGTGTTTAATGAATTAATTCCCGCGTCATAAAAATCATTGGACATGAAAATTCAACGGTACACATACAATAATTTGAATTTCCTTTAGAACAACTAGTACAAATTGTAGATGAATCACACGATTGTATACGGGCATTACGTTCATTGCATAATCACAACGTCAGCTGATCTTACTGTTATAGGTAAATCTTTTGTCTTCGTGAGTCCGCCCGTAAGCAAAATTGTTTGAAATGATAAGAAGGAATTGTAAAATATACAAATTAATATAAGCTAGATCCTTTAACAAAATCAAAAACGACAGCATTTAAAATGTTGAAAAGCTCAGCTTGAGTGAGCCTGTTCATTGTCGGTACTGAAAATTTGAAGCGACCTGTCCACGCCCTCTCTTCGCAGAAATGTATACCATTATGAGACGATGGTCAGAGCAAATGTTAACATCGTTGCCAATAACCCAAAAATAATACTGTTTTTGAGTGCAGCATCACAATATGGTGTTTTTGTTCTTTATTTTTTATGCCACTCAAACCTTTAATTTCAAGTATGCAACAATGGTGAAATTATGTTCCACACGTTTAATGAGTCAACTATTTTTTCTGGCGATTATTGTCACAATCTTTTGGTTGTTATGTTAAATTGTGATATTTTGGAATACAATAAGTTTGAGATGACACATCTAATTAGCATTATCATGCTGTTTCTGTAGTCATATGAAATTTAATGATAAATACGATTGTAAATGTCATTTTCATAATTTTTCATGTAATTAATTATCACGTTGTCCAAAACAATTTTTACATGATCTGATAGAAGGCTAGAATCTGGATTAAAAGAATTGTAATTGCAATAAGAAAAATGATTAAATTATCAAACTGATTAAAATAGTGTATGCAAGTAACTTATAACCTCCGGAATAAGTTTGCAAATCCGGAATTTTGCAAACTAAACTACTCTTTAAAATTAAAAAAAAAACAATACAAAAAGTTAAATTTGGACGATAATTGACCGTTTATACACAGACAGCACAAAAATTGAGCGATGGGCAAACCTTCAAAGTTTGGCATTCCATGTTTTTTTCTCTATTTTCCAATTGGGTTTTCTTGTCTCATGGGACCTCCAGTTGGATTAAAACCCCATTTCATAAAATGGTTTTAAAATCTGTGGGAGAAAAATTGATATAATATAATATCATATTTTTATTTGTTCAGTCTACCGAACAAATATCCTACACAGAAAATCTTGAACATAATTTTTATCATCTTTATTATGTTTTGTCAAATGAATAAAATGTCAATTTTTATATTTTCATTGAATGTAACATTTTCTTTTGATCGTTTGAAATGTTCTTTCGAAAAGCAATTTTGATTCAATGTATTATACAGGAACTGTTATGTATGATTTTTACCGATTTTTTTTCTTCGTGCGAATGAACGAATATCTTATACAGGAATTCTTTGACCGGATTTTTTATCGTATCTTTTTTGTTTGGTCAACCAAACAAACTGAATAAATATCTTACACAGGAATTCTAGGACAAGATTTTTATGATTTAAGCTCACCTGAGCCAGCTCAAGATGAGCTTTCAGAATCGTTGAATTTCTGTCGTCCGTCATCCGTCCGCATTTGTTCGTTAATACTCTGGCGGTCACATTTTTGCCTCAGTCATTATCAAACTTTGTTAGGATGTTGAACTTATACAGGAATACTTGAACGGGATTTTTATGCTCCCGCCATGTAATGGCCGGGGCATATAGTGTTACCCTGCTCCGTCATTCCCGTCCTTCCGTCATTCTGGCATTCCGTCATCATCAGTTTCCGTTCATTATCTTAAGAACGGTTGCACACATTCAACTCAAATTGGACAAATGGATATGTCATGAGAAAATACAGGCCAAGTTCGAATTTGGTTATGGTTCGATGATTTTTGGCAGAGTTATGCCCCCTTTACATTGAAAATAATATGAAATTTTCAGTTTCCGTTCATTATCTCCCAAACGATACAACACATTCAATTCAAACTTGACATATTGATATGTCATGAGAAAATACAGGTCAAGTTTGAATTTGGTCATGGTTTGATGATTTTTTAGCAGAGTTATGCCCCTTTTACTTTGAAAATAATATGAAATTTTCAGTTTCCGTTCATTATCTCCCCAACAGTACAACACATTCAACTCAACTTGACATATGGATACGTCAAAGGAATGCGCAGGTCAAGTTCAAATTTGGTCATGGTTCAATAATTTTTGGCAGAGTTATGCCCCTTTCACTTTGAAAATAATATGAAATTTTCAGTTTCCGTTTATTATCTCCACAACAGTACAACACATTCAAACACCCTTATGATATGTTGCCTGCTTTTGAAATTTGTCTTTTGACGTCTTATCTGTGATACGCAGGCTTCATAACCTCAGATCCCCTTTCAAAATTCCATTTTATTTAGTTTCGCCCATTGTTTTCTCGTTTAGGGCACACGCATTTTTTTACTTGGGGACCATATGCCACTTTTCATGGAATGGCACTAACGTGTCACATTGAAGGTTCCATGATAACCGCCATATGAACACATCTGCGGATGTTTCAAAATTCTAAATTTTACCAGTTCATGTTAAATGTTGAATTCTGCTTAAGCCGGTGCTAGGGGGCGTGGACGGTAACTTGCACTTTCCAGTACCGTCCATGAACAGGCTCAATCAAACCGAGCCTGCAACATTTTCAATTTTGCCGTGTTGGGCTTTCTTTAGGGATTCTGTATTTATCTATTTCAACTCAAATTTGACATATGGATATGTTTTTGGAATGCCCAGGCCAAGGTCGAATTTGGTCATGGTTCAATGACTTTTGGCAGCGTAATGCCCCTTTCACTTTTAAAATAATATGAAATATACAGTTTCTGTTCATTATCTACCCAACAGTGTTACATATTCAACTCAAATTTGACATATGGATATGTCAAAGGAATGGGCAGGTCAAGTTGGAATTTGGTCATGGTTTGATGATTTTTTGGCAGAGTTATGTCCCTTTCAATTTGAAAATAATATAGAAACATCTAAGGAATAAGCAGCTTAAGTTTGAATTTGGTCGTGGTTCAATGATTTTGGACAAACTTATCTTTCATGAATGTTGGAAAAATTTTGAACTTTCAGTTTCAGCACTCATACGTTTGTGTAAATGTATGTAGCCATTATTTTG